ATGCTCCAAATACCGTAAAACTAAAAAATATAGAGTAGCGAAATAGCGAAATAGTTCGCTACATTTTTTAAGCAGTAGCTGTAGTCAGTAGCGAACTACCTTTGTTCAAAAGTAGCAGTAGTTGTAGCTGGCTACATATTTTTGAAGTAGGCTGTAGTTATAGCGAACTACAAAAATTTTGTAGTCAACCCACCCTTGCATTTCGATTCAATTTTTCTAATATAAATATCTCGGCGAGTATTTACCCCCCTTTTAAATAAATGCCACCATTGAAATCCTCATAAAATAACCTTTCGAACGGGGGGGTCAAGTGCCGTCAAAACATTACACAAAGCGAAACAATCATATATTTACTCACCGCTTGGCCAAAGATTCTAAATTTCATATCCACAAGATCTTGAATACCCCTTGAACTTTTCGTCATTTGCTAAACGGCTATACGTGTAAAATACTCTCTGTATTCAAGCGCTTTCGTGTAGAAAGTTTTGTATGTATACGACGACTAGAAATATTTATTTTGAATTTTTCAAGATATCGGGTTTTACTCGCACTTGCGTACATTGCGCAATAATTGGCCAATAAGAAGCTCCTTTGGCCGGGATGACGTCAAACTCACGCGTGTAGGTGCAATTTGACCTTGCGAACCATTTCTGGCCTTTCCAGGGTCATACGATACAAACGCCGCATTGTTTTGACGGTTTTCAGTCGTATTTCCGGTTGGGATTAATTCACTTCGAGCTCACAGTCGGACAAGAAATGGAAATATATTGATAAAAGATACAGATTTGTAGATTCAGGGTTGCAAATAACACTCCAAAAACACTATTTAATGGGGATTCGAACAAGACTATTACAAAGACGATATGTTCGATGGGGCCGAAGTTATTTTCGGCGAAAGGTATGGCTAGTCTATAATAATCTGTATTTTTGTTCAGACAATTGCGTAATTTGATACAATATGATCGTTTTGACTTTCAAAGGCCCATAAATCGTTACAATACTAATAATGACTATAACTATCGTTTGGAACTAGTTGATATTTTATTTCTGAATCGAATGGTGGTATTTCTGTCTTCATAGCATGCACTGAACCGAAAGTATGAAATTTCGAGCCGTCGATCGCTCGCGATCGACGCAAATTGGGCCTGTCAGGAAGGAGTT